ATTACAAAGATCGGGAGGACATTGATCAAGTACAACAAACGGAGATTCCGACTTTGCACCTTTCTTAGCCAAACCGTCAGCCACCGCATTGGCTTCTCTGAAAACATGATTAAGATGTAGGTCGGGGATTTGTGTCATCATAGCCCTGCAATCATCAATTAAAACACCCAGTGAGTGAGTAGCAGAATTAGCAGAATCCAGAAGAGTTTTCGCAACCTTAGAATCAGTTTCAACAAGTAAGTGGGAAAATCCCCTATCTACAGCAAGTTTAAGACCCTCTCTTAAAGCCCATAGTTCGGCTGAAAGGCTGGACGTGAATCCTACATTCCAGTAGAATCCCAACAACCAGTTACCAAGCTCATCCCTAAAAACTCCTCCAGCACCCGCCTCCCCTGGGTTTGCATTAGCTGAACCATCAGTATTCAGCTTAATGAAACCAGCTGGAGGCGGGTTCCAGCTAACAAGAACAACAGATAGAGATTTAGTGATAGAAGAAGCTGGATGAAGTTGGTTGTACTCATTAATTTTTTTCAAAATAAAATCTCTAGCCATGGCTATAGAAAATTTTTTCCTTTCATGAACCAGCTGGTTCCGGAAGTACCAGAGGGACCAAATGATGTAGGAAAAGGAAGTGCTCCATTTCCTATAGTCAGAAAGGTTGGAGTGAGTAGAGTGAGCATAAAGCCAACCATCAAAATCAAGATTCTGGTAGCGAGTGTTAATAGTATTAGAAGTAAGGAGATACCACAACAGCTTAGCAAAAAAACAGTCTCTAAAGATATGATTAATAGTTTCAGGAGCCTGGTGACATCTGGGGCAAATATTTGAGTCCACAATGCCCCAATTAAATAGAGTTTCATGGGTAAGAAGTCTATCATGCTTCAACAACCAAAGGAAAAACTGTATTCGAGGTAAGGTATCCATCCTCCAAACCCAAGACCAAGAACAATTGCTAAGAAAGGGTAAATTCCTAGCCAAATAATAAGCAGACTTAGACTTAAAAAGACCATTGCCAGAAAAACCCCAAATAAATGTATCAGATCCTACACTAGAGTATTGGAGGGGGATGGCTTTAAGCCTATTGACAATATCAGTAGGGAGTGAATAAGAAATCAAGTCCCAGTTCCACTCCCCGGAAGGTAAAAGCGCATCCCTCACAGAAATATGAGAAGAGTCAATTTTATGTGGCCCATAAATCATAGAACCAAGGGAATCATTGCCAACCCACTTATCATACCAAAATGAAACTTTATCACCTGTACGAGGAATCCACTTGATACCTCTATCAATAATGTGCTTCCCCTTTTTGATATTTTTAATCACTGGGGAAGTCTTGTCCAAACTGCAATTTGGACTAACAATATTAAACTTGTCACGAAAAGCCTTAGCCCAGACGTTATCTTTTTCAGTAAGCATACGCCAATGAACTTTGGTCATAGCCACTTGGTTAGCCTCCTTAGAGGAACGAATACCCAGCCCACCAAATTTCTTAGGATGTGTGATTTTTTCCCAAGAAACAAGATTTGGTCTTCTTTTTTGAGGGGTGGAGCCCCAAAGAAATTGGCGAGAAAGTCTGTCTAGCTCTTCATGAGTTGCAGCTGGAAAAAACATACCTTGCATGTAGTAATTAGGAATGGATGAGAGGACTGAAGAAATCAGAGTAGTTCTGCCAGCAAGTGACAGCATACTAGCCTTCCAGCCCGAGAGTTTTTTGCGAACCTTGTCCACAATGAAGTTGCAATCAGATTTAGAGATCCTTTTGGGGGTCATAGGAACTCCAAGATATTTGCCCAAATGATCAGTTTTGGAAACAAAAAGAATGGTACAAATATCATTCTTAACAGACTCTGGAGTGTTTACAGAGAAAAGAATTTTGGATTTATCAAGATTGACCTTCTCCCCCGATCGAATACAGAAAAAAAGAAGCACTTCTTTGAGGAAGATAGCATTGGCTTTGCTAGCTTTGCCAATAAAAACCAGATCATCTGCGAAGAATAAATGGGAGAGAATAGGACCCCTCCTTCCCAATTTACTCCCCTTCCAAAGCCCAGAATTAATACCCCCTTGAAGTTTAAGAGATAAATATTCAATACACAAAATAAAAAGGTAGGGAGAAAGAGGATCCCCTTGTCTTAGACCCCTAGAAGGATGAAATTGTTCACCGACCCCGCCATTAACAATGACAGCAAACACAGAAGAAGAAATACAAGACATAATGAGATCAATTAAGGATGGAGGAAAATTAAAGAAAAGAAGGGCCTCTCGAATAAACCCCCACTCAAGTCTATCATAAGCCTTATCCAAATCAAGTTTCACAATCATATCACCCACACGACCCTTTCTTTTAGAAAAAGAATGAACCATCTCCCTTAAGATAAGAACATTATCCATTCCGCTTCTACCCGAGATAAAACTAGCTTGAAAGGGGGAAATAAGATTGCCAATTTTGTTTTTCAGTCTCAGAACGATCAGTTTGGTAACAATCTTATACACAACATTACATAGTCCAATAGGTCGAAACTGAGAAACCATTTCCGAATTTGGGATCTTGGGAATGAGAGCAATAAGGCTTTGACTCCAAGTATCCGGCATGACTCCATTACTGAAGGCTAAACGAACTTCGGCACAAAGTTTGGACTTTATAAGATCCCAGAATTTCTGGAAAAAACCAACATGAAGGCCATCTGGACCTGGGGCTTTCCATGACTTCATAGATTTGACAGCCAACCAAATCTCAGCATCTGAGGGAGGAGCTATTAGAAACTCCCATTCAGAGTAGTCAATAATCGGTCCCCTCACAATGTCTTTAAAAGAGTCATGAAAGGAATGATCTAGGGAGGAAGTATATAGATCCTTAAAGTAAGAAAGGACAATGTTGTGAATACCCTCTGGGTCATAGGACCAATTTCCATGAAGGTCCTTAAGTCCCATAATTCTATTATAAGAGCGACGCTTGATGGTAGAGACATGAAAAAATTTAGTGTTTCTATCTCCATCAAGTATCCATTGCGTACGGGATTTAAGAAACCATAAATCTTCCTCATATTTGAGAAGAAGCTGATATTCCTGAGTGAGCTCTTTCTCTAAGTTCAAGAGAAAATGACTATTCTTGAATTGTAAAGCTTTTTGAGTACCCACTAAGCGAGCCAAAATCTCTTTTTTCTTTTTGTGAATATTATCAAAGTTAGCTCTGCTCCACAACCGAACAGAACTCTTAAACTGTGTAGAACACTCAGAAATAGAGAGGTTAGAGTGTGTCCACTCAGAAGCAACCAAATCTTTAAATGATTCATGATCTAGCCAAAACTTCTCTATGCGGAAAGGTTTGTCCCCAATGGTTGGGATAGAAGGTTGAAGTGAGAGAAGAATAGGACAATGATCAGAAGAAAGCCTAGGGAGGTGAAAGACAGTAGCTTCAGGAAATTTAACCCTCCAAGAGGGATTTCCCCATGCTCTATCCAATCTCTCCCTAATCAGTTGGTTAGCACTTCTTTTATTCACCCAAGTAAACTTAGGACCGTTAAAACCCAAGTCCATAAGGTTACAAAAGGACATACAATCTGTATAAGCTCGAATTCTGTGAGAAGGAACAGGATTTCCTCCAAATTTTTCAGATTGGGCTGTAATGTCGTTGAAATCACCAATAGCCAGCCATGGGCCATTAATGGTTTGAGAGAATTCTCTCAAGTTATCCCAAAGCAGACATCTAATATCAAATTGTGGCCTAGCATAAATAGCAGATAAGAACCAAGTAAAATCAGTAAACCAGGGATGAGAGATTACCTTGACTAAAGCATGAATGACCTGAGAACCTTTGGAAAGAATGTCCACAGAGAAACATGAGTCATTCCACAAAAACCAAATCCCCCCAGCATAGCCATCAGCATCTACTAGCTCCCACTTTGGTAACCCCAAGCTTCGAGCTACTTCCACAGCCTTATCACCAGCAAGTTTGGTTTCCATAATAATGAAGATACCAGGATTATGTTCACGAATGATCTCTTTCGCATTCCTTTTAAAATCATCATTTGCCGCTCCGCGGCAGTTCCATGATAAGACTTTCATTGACCAAGCAATGCTACTGAAGGAATTCATGACCCAACGGCCCAGCTCTTGATTCCAGCGAACTGAATCGCTCAATCTGCTCTTGATCAGCATGTTTGCTTCTGGAAAGTAAAACGGAAGGGCTGTTTGAATGTAACGAGCTTTCCTACAGCATGGGGCCTCCTCCCTTCGAACAATCAAATGAACAGCTTTCATACTTCCCAATAGAGACATCTTGTTGAGGAACCAACTGCACTCCGGGATCCACACTATCTGAGGTGAGATTTGTTCCTCCCAAAACTCCCAACCCAATCTCTCCCCTGTCGAGCTCCATATCGCTCTCGAGGTGAGACACATGTCTGGGGCTTGTAGTGCACGGGGGGGTGGGAGATGCGGGGTTGGATCGATTCCCGTCTGTACCACAACCGGTCGGATCCAATTCTTGGTTACAGTGTCCCGATCCCAACCTTCTACTGGGGTTGAATCCTTTTCCAGCAGTAGAGACAAAGCTTTCTTCATTGACAAGATGTTGTTTTCGTTGTTGACTAGGTAGATGTCCCACAGCCGGCACAGCTTCACAAAGGATCCTGGATCCATTGCCCAAACTTCCACAGGCGGAGGAAGATGTAGATTGTATACTCTTGACATCTTTTGAGGTAAGAGAAGAACTAAGGGATCTTTTAAACTTATCTTCCTTGCGTGTCCCCTTGAGTTGAGCTGTAGCGGTATTCTTACCCTTTACGCTATCCCGAGGCAATCCATGGGAATCCTGCAACATGATAGGATTAGAGTTAGTATGAGACGGAGAAGTTTCATTTGGACTAATTTGTTTAACACTTGGTTTAAGCCCTTGGCCTTGTACTTGGGCCATCAAACCATTTGTAACAATTGAGCCGTTAATATTAACGTTAGGTCCATTTAATGCTTTGTCCCTTGAAGGGTTAGTTGTCTCATCACACTGTTTTGACCCGCCTCTTGACTCAGTGAGTTGGCTGCTTGGGTTCCCTCCATGGAAGGAATTTGGATTGCTTTGTTGATTCGTTGAACTATCAACCTTCCCATTAGATTTCCTCCTATTTCTCCTTCTTTCAACGAGCATCCATGGGCCAAAACCCTGATGTTCCTCAATCACAGGACTATCTCCAGTATTGATGTCCGGAGACTTAATAGAATTGGGGGAGTCCTCCTCCATGGCTGCAGGAGCTTGTGATAATTTGAGTGGACAAGCATTCTCTTTGTGACCAACGCACCCACAAGAGAAACAAAGTGCAACCGGACCCTCATATAGTACTTTCTGAATATGCTTACCAATCCTGACAAATGGAACAAGAGGTTCATCAAGATCCACCTGTACACAGATTCTAGCAAATTGCCCTCTTGTTTGGTAAGCCGTGTGAGCGTCCAATCGCAAAGGCGTCCCCAACAATTTACCAATTCTCTCAAGAATTTTAACATCATAATACTCGATTGGTAATCTGGGCAACCTAGCCCAGATGGCTGTGGTAGTAAACGCCGCTTTCTCAGGATCGAAAGACGGTTCCCACTGTCGGATGGTTAAGTAGTAAGGACCCACGAACCATGGACCACCATTGAGAACTCTCAGAAGGTCTTCTCTTTCCTGAAATTTTATGAGAAAAAAATCGACACCCAAATCAATACAGTCCATCTTTCCCCTCGGCTTCCATTGAGCTTTGATTCTCGGGTATATGAAATTATACCCCGCAGACTTGGTTCCGAAAGCCTTGATGATGATGGAATTGAGCCATGGCGAACGAATCCTTCTCTTCTCCTCTTTTGAAATGAGGATAGTGGGAATTGACCCATCGTCCTCACAATCTGAATCTTCCTCAAGAAGATCAAGATTAACTGAGGTATCACAGCAAATATCAATTGACTCATTGCGCAGAACCAGATCTTTGTACGACAGCGGTTGTGGAAGGTTTTCAATCAATTGGTAATCGTCCGAAATTGGTGGATGATCAGAGCCTTTGATACGCTTGATTGATCTACTCAGGAGATCGCCCTCCTGAGTCGATGAATGAGGATTGTGGGAAACGGACATGGGTAGAGAGAGGTCAGAGCGTTTTTTTCCACTGCGTTAATTTTATTAAAAATATGCGTATTGCGGTTGCAAGCTATGAAAAAGCCCTTAGCCCAAAACGACGTCGTTTTGGGCTAGGGAATCCTTTTTTTTTTTTAATTTATAATGTGTACCGGCTAAAATTTCAATGTACCGATTTTGACCGAAATGATCAAATTTTGACCGAAACAAAAATTAATATTATATCGTTTTGGTCAACTTTCAAAACGGTACGTACCGATCGTACCGACCGTATCGACCGTACCGACCTATACGGTACAATTTTGACTTCTTTGCTCCAAACTCCTCTAGCTAGGGTTTGGAATCGGTGGGCCTCTTCCTTTGGGATTTCTGTCCAGCAGCGGAGCCTCTCTACTTTTCTTCCTCTTTGCTTCAAGTCTTTGGACAAGGCTTTTCGGTTGATCTAGTTGAGGCGCCATAACCTGGTGTTTCTCCTCTCTCTACAAAATCACCACATCTGTTCGGGAGTGCCAGATCTCTGCAAATTCATCTTGTTTCACCATTGCTACAACATCCCAATCATGGCAAAAGATGACCTAGGTTTTATGGTCTGCTGGATCCGAATTGCAGAGAACAAAGCCGAGATCCTCCCACTGCATATGTTTTGGAAACAGGATGATACTAAAGTGAAAAAGTTACGGGTGGTTGGGAAATTGCTATCCCAACGGAGGATCAACCTTAATGGCCTCCAAAACGTTTTAACGGCTTCTTGGAACCCTAAGAAAGCTCTTGTAATTGTCAATCTAGGTGGCTGTCATTGGAGATGGATTGGGTTTTCCGACCAAAAACAAGAGGAAAGGATTGCGGTTGGGAAAGCTGACGGTGTTCTACGAGGGGAGAACACTATTCTAGTTGTTAAAGGGGCTCTTGTTCCTTTAATGACTTTTGGCCACATGGGATTAAAGAGGATTGGAACAATTAGGGCCATGGTTGGGAGCTCATGGAGCCGAGGGAGGTGCTTGGGCTTGGATGGAGGACCATGTTCCTTCTTGTTGATTATTCCTCAATGAATAGATAGGGTGGCAACTTGTGGTTGGGGATTGTTTGTTGCTGAAATCCTTGCTCTCCCCATGAAGCTGGTTAACTAGGTGATGACGTCTAGTAGCTTCCGATGCTCATAGTAACTCTCCTTTCTACATTAGCAGCCCTATTTAACCAATACAGCAATTGCAATTGCAATCTCTAGTTGCAGATGACTCCCTTTCCTTAATTGTTTATATTCGTTATGGTTATAGTTTAAATCTGTTATTATGCTGTAGGTTATGCTTCTGTTTCTACTTGTTAAGCTCTCATGCTTTAGGTTATATGTCATGTGATGGAGTTTTTACTGTATTTCTTATAAAAAAAAAAAAAAAAACTCAGGCTATCAAATCCATGTTGCGATGCTTTTGCTGTATTCAAAAAAAAAAAAAAAAAAACTCAGGCTATCAAATCCATGTTGCGATGCTTTTGCTGTATTCCTTTTGTTTGGACTAACAAAGTCAAGGGTACATTCATTTGAAACATTGATTTTAATTCTCACGTGGTCAACAAATGGGTCACACTACTTCAAAGAATAGCAGGTAGAGATCATTCAATTTTGATTTTAATGTTGATCTATAAATAGATATTAATATCTAATTAATATTTTTTTTGTCAAAAAAAAATTGATTTTAAATTTTACATGATCAATCATGTAATCTTATAGTAAAGTTACATTATTAATTATAAATTTAAAGTTTAATTTTTAATGTTTTCACTAAAAATAAATAAATAAATAAAACATCAATTTTATGTATTAATTAGAAGTTTAAATTTTTTGGTTCCTTAAAGGATATCCTAGTAATTAAGAACATATATTTTTATGCCCAGAGGAAAAAAAAAATTAAGGGAGCAAATTAAGTTCTTTATTAATGATTTGAGTCTTAAATATCCTTGATGATAGTTGTTAATTTATTTTTTAAAATAATTTTAATTTTGATTTTTTTTTCATTGATATCTTCTTAGAATCTTAATAAAATTAAGAAATTAATATATTTTTTTCTCATATTTCCAATAATTTTTTTATTAAATAAATCATTCTATTAAAAAGGGAAACAATGTCACGCTATGATAATACTTAAATAATGAACCAACTAATTCAAACAATTAAAATCTTACTCTTTTTAAATGTTTGTCTTTTTTTTTTTAAACTGATTTGTTTATTAAAAACTATTCTTTGTCATCCCAAAGTATTGAACATTAAGAAAGAGAGAACATTTAATTCAATATTTAAAAATTGAAACCATTAGCTAAATAAAGACTCCAATATTTTTATCAATTAAAGTTTTTGTTAATCAAATAATTTTTTAAGAACCTGGCCTTGTGAGTCAAGTGGCTCTAACCACTTTTGTAATATTCATATCCCTGTTCCTAAGGGTAACAGTTCGAGTCAGTCCCATAATTAAAATATTAAAATAAAAAATCAAATAATTTTTTAAAATAAATAATAAAATTTAAAAAATAAAATATAAAACAATTCAAAACTTTAAGAAAGACGATTTTTGAGTTTGGATTTAATTAAGAGTCTCAATTCCTAAGTTATTCGATATGCATGAAATTCATTTATTTAGATTAAAATATTCTCATGTTTTGCAAAACATTTAAATAAGTCTTAATTTCTTTTCATATTTAAAATGATGGTTATAATAAAAATATTATAAATAATATTAATTTTGAGTTGTTAAATATGAAATATTATGAGGAATTAAGTGATAATATCTTAAATTTTAACATGATATATATAATATTTAAAAGTTTTAAAAGGCCAAAAAAGTGTACTAATGTTGAAAACCTTCAAAAGTTTCACATCGACTTACTCCATTTATGTTTATGTTAAAAATTTCAAATTCAGATCCTGATATAAGTGAGAAAGTATTTGAGAAGGAAATTGTTGTTTTTTGTTGTAAAATTATTTAATGTATCAAGAAAGAAAAGTTTAAATTTTTGTGATCGATGCTAAGTGAGAAACTTTTAATAAAGTAAAAATATAATCATTTTGTTTGGAAATAGAGGAGACTAGTAAATGTTCTTCTATCAATAAATCCAAACTCTCCTTGTTGAAAAGCCACTGAGATGTCCCCTCTCAGAGTTTTTAAAAGTAGCTTTTCTCCCCATGTGAGAGGATATCCCTTCTCATGTGGATTTTTGGTGGTTTTTTCTTTCTCTAGTTTATGTTCTTTTCTTGGTGGGTTGTGTTTTCATAGGAGTTTTGCTGCGGACTGATAGTGCATTTAGGGTGGTAAGCTTACATATTCTTTTTTGGCAAAGCAGCCAATGTAGGTACCCAGAATGGCAGAGCAAGTGATGTAATGGCTTAGAATGGAGCAGTGATGGGTGGCTATAGTGAATGGCAATTGTTGATGGATCCTGTTCGCCTGGGAATAAGGCAGTGCGTGGTGGCTGCTGATGGATGCGCCTTATCAATGGGAAGGGCACGGCAAGATCCATGAACAAGCATTGTGGATTTTTCGCCAAAAATTCCAGCAGTAATTTGTAAATCTTGGGGTTCTTGGATAAAGGTTTTAAGCATGATTGGATTTCATTCAATATCGACGGGGCCCTAAAGGAAGTTAATGGAAGGAAAGTAGGAAATTTTATTATTCTAAATATTATTTCTTCTCATGTTAGGATGTTAGTGGATTCATATTCCATTGGTGATATAGAATAGTAATTTTATTTAAATTTATTAGAAGAAGATCTTACAGCAGTGTCAGGTTATGAAGATTTTCTTGTGCTACTTATTATGGCATTAATGCAAGAGATTAATGTTCATTCTAATAGAACATCATGAGAAAAAACTAAAACAGCCATGTTCTTATTTTAAAAATTAGGATGTTTTAGAATTAATTTTTTCTATGTAGTTAATAGTTGATAGTAAATACTTAATAATTAATAATTATTGTTGTTTATAATTCAAAATATCTAATTTGTTTGATTGGAGTTAACATCTAATAACTATTTGCATAAAACCAAAATAAACACCCCATAATCTTTTTTAATTGAATTTTATTAAAATAATATAATTTTGAGATATTTTTTCACTTATTTTTTTTTAATATATGGTTATACTCACTTTTTAGTTTAACTCAATTATAAAATATAAAATCTTAGCCGCTATTGAGTGAGATTGGTGAGGGTCATCCAATACTTCATTTTCCCCTACTTTAGGTTTGTAATTTGGTTATTTGATAATCAATAAAATTTGTCTCGTCTCAAAAAGGAAAATATAAGAGACTAACAAGCAATTAAACACACGAAAATTGAATCAAATATAATATTCCCTCCTCTCTCTCTCTATATATATTATATATATTGGGAAATTTAATTCAAATTCAATGAGGTTGTGTTTGGGAACTTAAATCTGAATTTGATGAGTGTAATTGAAATACATGTATTTAAAATACATGATTTTGAAATATATTGTTTGGATTGAATTAAAAAAAATGAATTTCAAATATATGTATTTTTAAATACATTGTTTGGATATTTTAAAATACTATGTATTTAAAATTGAATTTCTCTATTAAATTAAATCTTCTTCTAATTATTATTTAAATTTAATAAAATCAAAATTAACAATTTTAAT